AGAGATGTGTATCTGGGAACATGGCCTGAGCCCTCAGAAGACACTGATCTGCAGTGCCATCTTGGACTTCTCTGCCTCCACAAACAGGAGAAATAAACTCCTCATGCTCATACCCTACCTAGCTTGTGGTGCTTTGTTATAGCATCTCAAATCACTAAAGACAGAGTTCTTTGAAAAGTCTGGCTTGAACTTAAACTTTCAAATATGTGGTAGTCAAATAAAAGGCTTGTAATGCCCTATTTCTTTAAATCAGACTAACTTTGTGTTTTTTCTTTCAAGATATTTAATAAAATATTGCTAAGAAATTGATACAATGCTCTTGTTAGAGGAAAAAATATATAATTTTAATTACAGAATAAAACATGACTGAAAACCCACAGAGCAGCTGTGTTTAGCTCTGAGGAGGGGAAGCCCTAGACTTGGCCTGAGGAAGGCCCTTCCTCTGGATGACAGGGTGGCTGTACAAGAGAGTGGCGGCTCTCACCTAGACTTTCATTTCATTTTAAATGTCTTAAAACAAAGATGGATTTGAGGGACATTAAATAAATCATACCTTAAATTGTAGAAAAATGTTTAATGTTCACTTTAAACTAATCCTGTGATGGGTTTAAGAGGAAGTGGTCTGAGTCAGGAGCTCCTACTTTTCCAGCTTCATAAGGGTCTGGCACAGGGCTTCTTTGCTTGTCTTACCTTCACACTAACCTGGAAGTTTTGACTGGCAGAAATAGCCCAATGTCCAAAGTCTCTGAAACAATAAAGCTGCCTCCCACTCTCACTCCAAGTAGCCTCTGGGGTTCCTGTTGATAGGATACGTGACACAGCTTAGCAATGAGGTAACATTCCTTGGGAAACTGAGTTCTGGAATTCTGTACCTGCCATTCTTCTTAGAGCTCCATTCACCTACAATTAGGTGAATCCTTATAACAGCAAGTGAGTTTTCTAAATTTTGGATAAATTTCAATGTTCTGTCAATTCAAGAGAAAAGAAAAGCAAATGCAATTCTGCTTCAGTGACACAATCTGAAAGAATCTAACTTTGCTTGATGAAAACCCATGGGGAGATGGTGATTTGGAAGTTTCTCAGTTACTATGTGTACACTGTTGTGGATGCAGGATGTCCCTGCTGATAGCTAATTCAACAAGTATGAAAAAATCCTGAAGTGTTAGTTTAAGGTCTTGGAGTAATGTACACACATGTCACAAGTGTTGCTGTTGGGATGGTTTAGACTGATGCTGCCTAG